AATGTGTACATAGCACTTTGGTGACAGACCCTTATTTAACTGTGATTAATTGGCATTGAATAGTTATTTAATTACTTCGGAAGAAATCTAACAACAGTGTGTGTTCTGATTAAGTTATTTGATGTAAAAACAAACATAGGACTGTTGAAGAGAGCACATTCCCTTTTGCAGCTTGCTACTGACGCTGCGCACCACATGGAAGCCTGAGAATGATTAAAACTGCAGATACTATTCACAAATTTGGATGCTATTGTAACATTGACACACTTAGTTCTTGATTTCTTAAAAGACTTTTTTGTTCGTGGTTTCATGACATTTACTTTGCCTTACGACTTTAAATTTAGTATTTTATTTTTGCTTTTGAAGCCCAGACTGAAATCCAGTGGGATAAGGAAAGGGTGCAAGTATTAAGTGAGCTTGAAAATTTTTGTAAATTGAAAATGCTGGACTAGATCTAACAATTATTGTCTCATGGCATGTCTTGATTTCTTAAAAGACTTTTTTGTTCGTGGTTTCATGACATTTACTTTGCCTTACGACTTTAAATTTAGTATTTTATTTTTGCTTTTGAAGCCCAGACTGAAATCCAGTGGGATAAGGAAAGGGTGCAAGTATTAAGTGAGCTTATAGATACATGGCATGTATCTATATCACAGAAATGCTCACTTTAGGAATGAGGGTTTTTTGGAAGTATGAAATATTGTGGGAAGGTGATGTTGATAGTCTGTAGGTATGGGAGAGAAGGATATTGGAAGTTTTGGAAATAAAAATAATTGGAGGGGGGGAAGTTGTGTAGGTCCTGCCCTTCTTAAATAGCAGGTGCAACCCAAAAGTTAGGTTTGCAAATGGTAGTAGAAACTGTAGTCGTATCTGTAAACATTTTGAGTCCTGACTCAAAATGGCTACTTCAGCTTTCATATCTGGAATGATTTCTCTTGCATGCTTAATAACGCATAAGTAAGGCACTAATTTACTGTGCTTCCAGTAAGTGGAAACTGTTGTTTCTTCATACCTTGTGAAATAGACCTCATTTACTTGTAGACATCCTTATAAATGTAGCATTCACTCTGGGTGAAATATCATGATGACTATGAGGCATTTTGTGGATATTTCCAAAGCATAGCACTTCTGCTTGGAAGTGCATTGCTCTTGCTGGTATATGGTGAGGGAACTTACTTGCTTTAGTGCGTTACTGTAGCTTGCTTCTGCGTAGGACGTGCTGAATAAAATGCCCATTCAGTATATCCATATGAACAGGATCTGAAATAAATCTCCGGGCCTTTGTTTCCTCTTACACAGTCACTGGGGTAGCATCACTGAAAATCAGCAACAACAAAAATAGAGCTAAGGCTTGTGGCTTTGTTGCTTGCTTTTAGCAGTAGAAAAGCATTAATGGTCACTGGATTAACATTAGAAGATGGAGATGTGGACCTCTTAGCAAGAAGTGAGGTATTTTCCTAGGCTTAATGACGTCAGGTGTCGTTTCCCAGAATTACTATGTGCAAACACTAAATAGACCATAAATTACCTTTTTCAATAACTTGAAAATTGAAAATAATGAAGTTCTACTACCAGAGATTGACCTGAACGTTTATTTGGGAAGTGGCTGATTCACATCCCCACTGTTTAAATTGCTTCGATTGTATCAGATGGACTGTAAAAGGTTCTAGTTTTCAAGATTTGTCTTTTTGGTACACAATTTCTTTTGCTTACTCATATTTTAGTCCATGTAATTTTACAGAATTACTGTATTTACATTTTAAAGAGGATTAGGCAGATTAAAAGATGTATTCATGTTTTATTGATAACGTCAGATTAATTTCCACTTTCCTAGTGGCAGCTCGCAGCTCTCTCAAAACACAGTCTGTAGAAATGTTGTTATACTTAGCAATTTCATGAGGCGATTGCCAAAAATACAGTTTGGCAATTAATTAGCAGCTTGATTACCAATGGGAACTGGCATGGTTAGTGGATATATGGAAGAGATAGTAAGGCCAGAGGACTACCGAGGCCAGCTCAAGTGAGCTAAGTTTTCCTTCATGACCATGTTTCTCAAAGAACATCACTGGAAGAGATGTTACTGTGGAGGAGAACATTGCCACAGTTGCTCTTGGTGTGCAGGATGAAGGCAAGTATTCTGCAGCTCTCATTTATATCTGTGCTGACTTTTTCAGATAGTTATCATGCTTGCAGCCTAAAGCTCTCCTTGTTGCAACACTGAAACTTTCTCAGGAAATGATTGGAGATTGTCACAGCCTCCTGCTGAGCTCTTCTCCATGGAATCCAGTGTCAGGACACGTGGGAACGGTTCAAAGCTGCACCAGGAGAGGTTTAGACTGGACATTAGGAAGAGTTTCTGTACCGAGAGGGTGGTCAAATGCTGGAACAGGCTTCCTAGAGAGGTGGTCAATGCCCCAAGCCTGTCAGTGTTTAAGAGGCGTTTGGTCAATGCCCTTAATAACCTGCGTTAACTTGGTCAGGCCTGACTTGGTCAGGCAGTTGGAGTGGATGATCGCTGTAGGTCCCTTCCAACTGAAATAGTCTGTTCTATTCAAACAATTGCCAAAAAAACCCAAAACCAAAACCCAGACTCAAAACCTGCAAAATTCTTCCTTGAGCAACTTTATTGGGTGATTCTTCAGTAGAAGTCTCAGAGGAGGGAAATGGGAGCTGAACTTCGAGATACTGCTGGAACTGAAACGACCCAAGAATTAAACAGCTTTCAACAGCAAGCACTTTGTAATGGCTTCTCTCCTCCAGCCCTTAAAGCCTTGTCCATACTGTACAAAATGAGAGTAAGCACGGCACTTTTCCAGGAACAAGTTTGGATATGCTCTTCTACTTGTGGGATGAGGAACATCATGAAGGCATGGCTTGATTCTTGGAGGTGCCAGCTTTGAGCTGACCGGCACTGTGGGAATGGAAAGTAGCCAGCCTGAGTGACCTTGCTGCCTCCTGGCAGCGCTGCATGGGATGGCCCTTGAGCGATAGCTTCTTATATCAGTCTGAAACTACAAAAAAAACTTATTTTGGGTTAAAAGGCAAAGGGGGATTCTAAGGCTGAATTAAGGTGGGATTTGCTTGCTGCAGGCATAATCCTTTGCCTTTGCATACTGCGTGTCATCAGAGGGTCTCAAAGCGTTTCACGGAGGGGCTCGGCACTGCCACCTCCCCTTGCTCTGCCCTTTGCTCTGTAAAATAAAATGAGATCACCCGGGAGACAAGTGGCAAAGCTGGGAACAAGTTACCAATACCCTCAGCACAGGCCATTATGCTGTCTTGTTTCCGTACTCTGCCCCTCCTGGACAGGCCGCTAAAGAAAACCCTGTCAGAAGGAAGCATTTAACCTCTTTGAATGATTTTCCTTTGCTGATGAAGTCTTGGTTCATTTGAAAATAACCTGAGATGTGATATTTTGAGATAATAGGAAGTCTTAGCTAAGGCATGCATGCAATAGTGCTAGATCACTCTTCCATGACCAATCTTCATGTAAGGAAATAACAGGAAAACGAAACTTGAGGGAAAAAATTGCCTTGGAGTTCCTTCAGATGTATCTACCCCAACATGAAGTAAGTGAAAGGCAACATCCCCAGCTGCCGTTCCCAGTAGAAACAGATGAAAGAGATTTTCCTGAGACTTGTGCTTCTATATACCCTTCCTCTCTGTGTGCAAAGCCTAAAAATAGTATGAATCCTACTGTTGTCTGCCTAAGTAACTGCCTTTGGTAGTAAGGTACTGCAGAACAAGCTGTTCACCACCAGTATCTCTCTTGGAGTCACATCCCAGGCCTGAGGAGAGGATGTTTTGCATATTGCTTGGTGTGGAACGAAAATTCCCTTAAAAAAGAAATCAGCATTACGCAACAAAATTCATAATTCCAAGACAGCCATGAACAGAAAACTAGAATGTTGGTTGCTACAGAAGTTACTTCAGTTAATGTTCTTATCTCTGAATTAAGTCTCCAATGCACTCCGTGGAAACCTTAAACTTAACGACTTTCAGTTTAATGAGCTCCTTTGAAAAGAAAAAAAAAAAAGTCTTTTGTTGCCAATGCAGTGAATGTGTTTGTACCAGTTAAGAGATAATAATTGAATCAAGATGTATGTAGATAAAAATGCAATGTGAATGCATGTACGGGCATTACACACCTTAGAAAAGGCCAGATTCCCATCCTTAGCTTTGTTTCTTTCCTGGTGAGTAGAGGTATGGATTAATAGAGAAAGGTACTAATCCACTTATGAGTGGCAGTGTTGTGACTTTAATTATTAAAGAACTCTTGCTATAACTGATTTTTTTTTTCACTCAAGTAGAACTTGGGAAAATAGAGAAGTGTAAATGCTTCGCTGACAGCAGATTAAAAAAGAAATTATTAGTTTTAATAAAGATCAGTATTGTCAAGGTTTTGAGTAAGTATAAATGCAAAGCTGCATGAACACAAATCTTTCTCAAATTTTATTTCAGAAATGCCTACAGTTTAAATCCATCTATAATGATGGAGGGGTGGGAACAGAAATACTGAAAAGGATCAGTTAGATCAGCTGTGATCTATCTGGAACACGCATGCACTAGTGAGTTTCAGTCAAGGATGGGAGCAGATTCTGGCTGATGTTCCTTGATGAACCTTGCATTAAGTTGTCTGACCTGTAAACCTTTACCTGCACAGCTCAAGCATATAAAGCGTGTGTGTTTTACCTATTCAATTCTATTGAACTATTATCTTCAAAGCCAATCTGTTTTTTTTCCTAGTATTTTAAGTAAATGTTTTATATTTGGGTGGAAGACATTTGTAAAAAAGTATTCTTCTTTGAAATGTATTGCAGTGGTTGTAAAAGATTCCCTTTATGGTGGTTTCAGAAAGGGTCTTTTTATCTTTAGATTCCAACTATTTCCTTTTTACTGTCACTGAAATGGTAAAATATGGTATGTTTAAGATATTTTGATCTTTTAAAGCATTATATTCACTTTCTTTGCCTTTTTCTTCTCCAACCCTGTTTCTGTAGGAAGAATCTTAAATCGTTTCTCCAAAGATATTGGCCACCTGGATGACTTGCTTCCATTGACGTTTTTGGACTTCGTGCAGGTAATTCAGTTGCTACTGAAAGACTTCTGCACTGCATTCTGAATTTAGATTCCTGTATGCTTTGGTGAAGATCAGCTATTTGTCACAGATGTAGCTGAGTTGAACGAAAGTACTTGTTTGTGAAAAAAGGTGCGGTTGAAATTTAATGTGTCAGTAAAAAGCTAACATGAGTAATAACTGGCAGGTAGGAGTGGCTGTACACAGCTTGCTATTATGTCAGGATTTCAGTTCATAGTAGCTACATGCTTGGTAAATTGCTCCTGATTTGCCTCCAGGCAATCTGGCAAGCTTATTGCTGTTATAAGAAATATGTCCATAGTAAAGAAACAATCAACTCGCATTAAAAGATAGCACAGATTAACCTAATTACGTGTCTACTTCCACAAAGAATCAAATGCTTACCACACCGTTTTGGATTAAAATAGGTGTGGCTATTTACAAAGAAAAGATTAGTAGTAATAGGGTGAATATAATAGCCTTAATAGGAACAAGTGAAATAAGTTGCTGCAGACAAGAAAGATGGACAAAACACTGAGATTTTGATGATCGTGAAAAGATAAAGGATTATATATGACATCAAGGTAATTTTTCTGTTGCAGTTGCTATTAATCCTCCTTGTAAAAAGTTGCAGAAGGATAAAGCTGCAAAAAAATTGGTCGTCCTGTATCAAAATAACGTGAATCACAGAGTATACAGAATTGTGGAGGCTAGAGAAAGAAGTAATTTAGGGGATCATCTGGATCCACTTGGTGGATCAGACCTGTCAGGCTCAAGTCAGAAATGTTCCTTAAGGTGCTATTGCTAACTTTGCTTCATCTATTAGAGATAACTTAGTCAGGATCTAAACCTTGTTTTAACTTCTTTAAAAATAAACCAAAGACATTTCAGGTTGAGCAGTTCAGTCATGTTGTTAATGCTGAACTCTTGAAAACAGGAGAAAAAAATTATTCCGAGGAATTAGTAAAAACACTTCTTAAGATAAAATGTTTTTCCTAGTTTAGTGAAGATGTTAAAGCTGAGGTGTGTCTTTGTTTTTCAAAGCATTACAGTGCCACATGTTATTTCAGAGAAGAAAGGAAGGTGATGTATTTTACCTATCAACTAAAGCAATTGGGGGTTTTTTTTGTGAGTTAGAGAGTTGCTTGTAGTGAATATCATGGGCTTTTAAGGTCCTGATAAATTCTTTCCTGCAAGTGCAGTATAAACATCTTTCTGTAATATACTACTCGTTTTCTACTGTTTATACAGATTCCAGATTTTCTTCAGTCTCATTAACTGTCTAATTAGACAGAATATCTTACTTTATTTCAGCTCTCTTGGGACAATACATATATACCTTTCTTTTTGGCTGGAAGCTCAGACTGTCCTGCAACCTTTATCCTCTTCTCTTAGCATAGGATTTACATCCACAAAGTCAAAACCATCTCTTTTGCATAGTGCTCCTTGGCCATTAGACCAAGCAATGCGGAGGGGTTTGTATTTGCATAGGTTTGGCCCCTTTACAGCAGACTGTGGTGTGTATGTTCATAGTACATACTGCTCATGGCCAGAGCATTCTCTTGGTCCTGTGGTCTTGAGATAAAATGATTAACCCTTTTTCTTAGTTCCATGCATTTGCAATAATACGAGAGTTGCGTTGCAGCCCACTTGCATGGTGTTCTTATAGCAAGAAACTGAGTGGGTGTTTTGCATGCCCCAGCATGTGATTTAAAGGCCTGTGGGATTGTCTGGGGATGTGAAATTTGCTGGGAAAATGTTAGAGAAATGTGCATAAGCAGAAGGAGCAAAAATTGGTGTGGTCTTGTCCATGCTTCCTTTTGGGAGCAGACCCTGAAGCAAACTGTCTTGAGAATTACAGTCTTTTTTTCTGAGGGAACCAACTGGTTTGCTCCAAAAGAAAGCTAAAGAAGGAGCTAACCTTATGCATGGCACATACAGAGGACTGAATCACCTACTAGCAGATTGGAAAACCTAGTTATTTGACCAAGATATAGATACTTTAGGCAGTATATGCTTACTTAACTCAGCTGGGATGAAAGAATGAAGGCTATTGCTCTAGATGTGATTGTTTTCTTCTTTCAAGCTCCTACTGTAAACCACATTTTGTAAACATTTCCCCTCATGTTGATTACTTTCTGCATTTCTTTTAAATTGGCTGTTGAATTACTTGTCAAATTCTGAAGTTTGTATTTTAAATGAAAAGTTTTCCTTTTCAAAAAAAAAAAAAGTAGATGTTACATGTCCAGTACACTATTAAAAAGATACTGTATTTCAAGGCTTGCCTGTTCTATTTGGCATGAGAAAAGAAAATTTAGGAACTTGCTGTTGATTAATAATGCACTGCTATCCATAAGACAACAGCACTTCCTTCTTGGCAGGTTTTCTAAACTTACTGTTCTTGATCAGCAGGCTTGTTGGTTAGTGGATACCTTTTGAAATTCAATAGCAAAGATATATTTATTTCTGAAGCAGCACAGATTTTCACAAAGGATAACTGTTATCAATTATGATAGAGATCTTTTGTCACTTGTTTTGTTTGCAGGTGTCTTTTATAAGACTTCCTATAATCCCTTCAGGAAGAAATATTTTCTCCTTTCTAAAAACAGTATTAGCTAAATATAAAAGCTCTGATTCCAGCCATTGTTGTTGATTCTTTGAGAGACATTTCCCAACATTCATTGTTTAAATGGTTGTCAGGAGGAATCAAGTGAAACTTAATAAACAATGCAGTAACTGGTTCATCTTACTTTGTGTGTAGAAGCTTTTCTTGAGCGGATTTGCATTGAAGAAGTGGTCGTTTTTCTGAGTTATTGCTAGGATCATTGTGAAGAATTCCACCCTTTTACTGTATTGGCAAGCAAGCGTATAATTTCTGCACAAATAAACACAATGTGATTGGACACCCAAAAACTACAATATGAGCCCATTTAAATACCTATAAATAAATAAATAAAATCTACTAGTTTTGAGACTTCTGTAATTACACTGAGGCCAGATTTTAAGGCAATGCTAAAAATTGATAATGTTCGTTTTAGAGTGCCTAATAAGATTTGTACACTGCACTACAGTCATAATGAGCATGATTAGTCTAGACAGCTGTACTGGATAAAAATTAATTCCTTGAACTAAAAGAGGTGAATATTTTACATCTTCCATTGGGTCAATGAAGAAGAAAGAGTTGGTTCTCTTCAAGACAGTGGATAGTTACTGTACACTTACTTGTTAAAGCAAAAATAAAAGGTATGTGGCAGGCACAAAAATGCATCATAGACCTTGTGCATTCTTCTGAAAACCTGGCTAGATTTTGCAAAAGTGTTGCTTTGCAATAGCTGCCGAAGTAGCAACTCTCACTGTGTTTAAAGTTTTCTGCTGTCTTTTCTTTCTTTGGTTTTAAGTGCACTAAAATACAGCACGCCTGTCTTTGGAGAGATTGGAGGCAGGAGGGGCAGTCCTCGCTAGAAGGCAGTCTTTTTCTTTTTTTCTTAACTTACAAATTTTAACAGCATACAAGACATGTCATGTTAATGCAGTTGACTGTCTTTTTGTAGAAATTAATGCTGTATCCACAAGGTTTATAAATAAAAAACCAAGTCTCTTTTATGAGAACACATTTATGGCTGTTTGACTACATGGCTGTTGAACAGAGCTCTGTGGGTAGATGTAAAGTATAGAAACTGAAAAGAAACTAATGGTTAAGTTAGGCACTTCAGATGAGATATCTTTAATTGTACGTTTACCATCCAGTTCAAAGCTCATTAAAGTAAAAAATAAACTTTACAGTCCACAGTCTAAGCCTGGGCCTTATCTTTTGTAATGGATTCTGGCTGGCCGTAAGGTTCCATACCAGATCTCCTAAAAAATAAAATGCGGTGCTATGTTCACAATGATACTTTTTTTTTTCTACTGAACACAGCGCTGAGTATGTTTGTAAAAGCAGGTAGTAACTAATGTTTGTAGGTTAATTCAGATAGTCAGAAAGCTGAATGAACTTCTTTGGTGAAGATGGTGTAATTTATTTTTTTTTGTGAGCTTACATATTTTTAAAAATCACTTGCCTTAGCACTGTTAGCCTCCTTAGCCTCAGTTCTGCATCTCACTTTCTTTTTCCTATCCCAAGTTATGTATTTTTGGCAGTTGTTTTCTAACTAAGTTACAATCTCCTCAGGTAAAGGACTGCTCGTGTGAAGGCCGTTACAGTGCTTTAAAACTTTATAAGAGGATTTAAACATTCCTTCATTTAGATATATATCCTTTATTTATGTATTTGTTAGTTTAATCAGAGGGCAGGCCTGACAGCGGCCTCAAAGAGCTGCCCAGATGCAACTAATTGCAGAAATGCTTTCTTTAGTTGACACGAACTTCATCAGCCTATAAGTAAGTCTAAAGGGACTTAAGGAAGTCAGGTACCATTTAAGATGACTGGGATTTTGTTACTTAATTTTCTGAGGCTCCTCTGAAAATGCCAGCTGATTGACTCAGTGTTATAACCAACTGTTGTTCCTCCTCCTGCCTTAAGCTCTGTGGGTCTACGAGGTTCTGTTGATGTGGACTTCACTGGTAGGTGTGGGGCTTGTAGTTTAAAATGGCGTGGTTAAAATGCATAGCAATGTCTAGCTCAATGCGGCACGAATCAAACACACTGTACTAATTTGGGAAAAGGTCAGCCAAGGAATAGAATAAAAAAAATTAACGAGGAAGTATTAGGAATTAAGAATCCAGTATATTTAATAGTATTTTATGCACATTAGCCCAGATATTCCTAAGTGGCCAGTATTTTGGATGCTGTATTTTTGAGAGCTTGTCAACGGTTTGTTTTTAGTACCTGAATCTCATTTTGACTTGAGATAGATCTGCATCTTAAAACTCTGTGGTCTCAGGTGATGCAGGATGAGTACCCAAACTGATAAACTCCTGGTTGAAAATTAAATCTATAAACTGATTGAAAACAAAGGGTGGTGAAATATATTTCAGAGTTCCTTTCGGTTTTGTTAATTATTATG